GGGATGGACTGGGATGGACTGGGAGGGCAATGGGAGGGAGTGGGATATACTTGGAGGAACTGGGAGGGAACTGGTCCATACTGGGATATGCTGGGATGGACTGGGAAGGACTGGGAGGGACTGGGATATACTGGGAGGGCAATGGGATGGATTGGGATATACTGGGAGGAACTGGGAGGGGAACTGGGAGGGACTGGGATATACTGGGATGGACTGGGAGGGGAACTGGGAGGGACTGGGATATACTGGGAGGGACAGGGATGGACTGGAGGGCAATGGGACGGACTGGGGGGGAATGACAGGGGACTGGGATATACTGGGAGGGACTGGGAGGGGAATGGGAGGGACTGGGTGGGACTGGGATATACTGGGAGGGACTGGGAGGGGAACTGGGAGGGACTGGGATATACTGGGAGGGACTGTGAGGGGAACTGGGAGGGACTGGGATATACTGGTCTACACTGGTCCACACTGCTCCATACTGTTCCATACTGGTCCATACTGGTTCATACTGGGCCATACTGGTCCTTATTGGCCTATACTGGTCTATGCTGGTCTATACTGGTCCAGTCTGGTTTATACTGGTCCATATGGGTTTGTACTGGTCCATAGTGCTTCATACAGGTCTGCACTGGTCCATACTGGTCTATATGGGTCTGTACTGGTCCATACTGGTCTGTATAGGTCTGTACTGCTCTGTACTGGTCCTTACTGGTCCATACTGGTCCTTACTGCTCCGTACTGGTCCATACTGGTCCGTATTGGTTTGTATCGGTTTGTACTGGTCCATACTGACCCATACTGGTCCATACTGGTCCGTATTGCTTTGTATCGGTTTGTACTGGTCCATACTGGTCTGTACTGATCTGTATTGATCCATACTGGTCTGTACTGCTCTGTACTGGTCCCTACTGGTCCATAGTGGTCTGTATTGGTCCATACTGGTCCATACTGGTCTGTACTGGTCCGTATTGATCCATACTGGTCTGTACTGCTCCATACTGGTCCCTACTGGTCCGTAGTGCATTGTATTGGTCCATACTGGTCTGTATTGATCCATACTGGTCTGTACTGGTCGTACTGCTCCATACTGGTCCGTATTGATCTATAATGGTCTGTACTGCTCCGTACTGGTCCATACCGGTCCATACTGGTTTCTGCTGGCCCATACTGGTTTCTACTGGTCCATACTGGTTTCTACTGGTGCAGGCCCTGTGCAGCTCCCTGTCTGGGATCGTTGCCACCCGCGCTGTGTTTGAAGCCGTCGGCGTTGGGGACGTCGCTGCCACCCCCACCGGAGCCACCGTCACCTGGCTGCTGCGTGGTCAGACCCAAAACTTCCCTTTTTCACCCCAAAAATCCCTCTTGACCTCAAAAACCCCAACCCTTCCCTTCCAAAAAAAAAAAAACAAACAAAAAAACCCCACCGATTTTGTCCCCCAAATCCTCATTTTTGACCCCAAATTTCCATTTTTCCATCTCTGAAATTTCCCACTTTTCACCCCCAAAAATTCACTTTCCTATTCTCAAATTTCCCATTTTCTCCCCAAAATCCTCATTTTTCACCCGGAAATTTCCCATTTTTCACCCCAAAAATTCACTTTCCCATCCCCAAATTTCCCATTCTCACCCCAAAATCCCCATTTTTCATCCCCAAATCCCCATTTTTCACACTGAAATTTCCCTTTTTCACCCCAAAATCCCAATTGTTCACTCCGAGATTTCCCATTTTTCACCCCCAAAATTCACTTTTCTATTCCCAAATTTCCCATTCTCACCCCAAAATCCCCATTTTTCACTCCAAAATTTCCCATTTTCTCCCCAAAATCCTCGTTTTTCGCTCCAAAATTTCCCTTTTTCACCCTAAAATCCCCATTTTTTCACCCCATTTTCAATTTGTTGCCCCAAAATTTCCCATTTTCACTCCAAAGTCCCCATTTTTCACTCTGAAATTTCCCATTTTTCACCCCAAAAATCCACTTTCCTACCCTAAAATTTCTGATTTTGTCCCCCAAATCCCCAGTTTTCACGCCAAAATTTCCCATTTTTCACCTCCAAATTTTCCCATTTCCACCCCAAAATCCTCATTTTTTATCCCAAATTGTTCCTTTTCCACCCCAAAATTCACTTTCCCACTCCAAAATTCCCCATTATCCACTCCAAAATTTCCCTTTTCCATCCCCAAATCCCCATTTTTCAGCCCAATGTTTCCCATTTCCACCCTAAAATCCTAATTTTTCACCTTCATAATTTCCATTTTCCACCCCAAAGTTTCCCATTTTCACCCCAAAATCCCCATTTTTCACTCCAAAATTACCCTTTTCCATCCCAAAATCCGCATTTCTCACCCCAAAATCCCCATTTTTCATCCCAAGATTTCCCTTTTCCACCCCAAAATCCCCATTTCTCACCCCAAAATCCCCATTTTTGATCCCAAATTGTCCCTTTTCCACCCCAAAATTCATTTTCCCACTCCAAAATTCCCCATTTTCCGCCCCAAAATTTCCCTTTTCCATCCCCAAATCCCCATTTTTCACCCCAAAATTCCCCATTTCCACCCCAAAATCCCCATTTTTCACCTCCATAATTTCCGTATTCCACCCCAAAATTTCCCTTTTCCACCCCAAAATCTCCATTTCTCACCCCAAAATCCCCATTTTTGATCCCAAATTGTCCCTTTCCCACTCCAGAATTCCCCATTTTCCACCCCAAAATTTCCCTTTCCCACCTCCAAATTTCCCTTTTCCACCCCAAATTTTCCCATTTTCTCCCCAAAATCCCCACTTTTCACCCCAAAATCGCTGCCCCCCCCCAGACGGAGTTGGGATGGTGACGCGGATCGCCTTCGCCTCAATGCAGGGGTGAGTACTGGTCCATACTGGTTTATACTGGTTTATACTGGGACATACTGGGCCATACTGGTCTGTACTGGGCCATACTGGTTTATACTGGCCTATACTGGGCCATACTGGCGTGTACTGGTCCATACTGGTTTATACTGGGACATACTGGAATATACCGGGCCATACTGGCGTGTACTGGGCCATACTGGCTTATACTGGGTCATACTGGCCTATACTGGGCCATACTGGTTTATACTGGGATATACCGGGCCATACTGGCGTGTACTGGGCCATACTGGCTTATGCTGGGACATTCTGGGCCATACTGGGCCATATTGGCATGTACTGGTCCATACTGGTTTATACTGGGTCATAC